CAGTCCCGGTCGGCTTTTGACCCCACCCGGGTTGGGGCCAGCCACAACTTCCCTGGGCAACCTGTTCCAGTCCCACACCACCCTCACAGTAAAGAATATCTTCCTAATATCTAAACTGAATCTCCCCTCTTTTAGTTTAAAACCATTCCCCCTTGTCCTGTCCCTTCATGCTCTTGTAAAAAGTTCCTCTCCAGATTCCTTCTAGGCCCCATTTAGGTATTGGAAGGCTGTCATAAGATCTCCCCTGATCCTTCTCTTCCCTAGGCTGAACAAGTCCAAATCTTTCAGCCTGTTTGTGTAGGAGAGGTGCTCCAGCCCTCGGAGCATCTCAAGGCCTCCTCTGAACTTGCTCAAGCAGGTTCATCTCCTTCTTTGTGCTGGGGGCCCCGGAGCTGAACACAGTACTCCAGGAGGCTGGAGACCAGGAGAGGTCCACAAGAGTGGAGTAGAGGGGGAGAATCGCCTCCGTTGACCTGCTGGTCACACTCCTTTTGATGCAACCTGGTTGGTTTTCTGGGCTGCGAGCACACACTCATGTTGAGCTTCTTGTCAGCCACCACCCCCAACTCCTCCTCAAGCCTGCTCTCAGTCCATTCTCTGCTTAGCCTGTATTTGTGCTGGGGATTGCCCCGACCCATTTATTTTAAAACATTTTTTTTATACTTCATTAAGATATTGCAGTATTTGTTAGAACTCTTCTAACAAGATGTCACTACCAAGTGTAGTATCATGAAATAAAAAATAAGCATCGTTTTGAGTAGCTGAAAAATACTTGTCTTGCATCCAAAGAATTTGTCCATTCCTGAATGTGTAGCCAGCGACAGCTTGTCCGTCATCTCTCAAGAGCTGCCTTTTGTTGTATTTGACACTGAGAAGACGCTTTAAGAAGGGAGTGTTATATAAAAGAAAGATGAGCTAGTGTTCTTTGATTTCAAATTACTGTTTCTACCAAGGAAAGGAAATAATGCGCTCAGCGGTGTTACTGATTGCCTATGAATTCTAGTTCTGTTACTAAGAATTTCATCACTTTTTTATGTATTGACAGAGTATTGAGTGGCCTATGAAATTTCCTCAGGCATTTGCTAGGATGGGCCTGTCTCATCCAAAGGGTATTCTTCTGTATGGGCCATCAGGGTGTGCCAAAACCACGGTGGTGAAGGCTCTGGCCACAAGTTGTCACTGTTCCTTTTTCTCTGTAAGTGGTGCTGACCTCTTCTCACCTTACGTTGGAGATTCAGAGAAGATTTTGTCTCAGGTACAGTTTTTTGTGTAAAGCCTATAGATTATTTCTGCTTGATTTTTGTGATGGTCTAAATTTTGTTATTGAAAAGATGATAGTTAAAGCTGTCATCTGATTATTAAATAAGATAGCTTTCAGATTCAGATGTATATAAACTGAGAATCTAGCCCTAAAATTATACCAATTTTAAGCTTTGAATGTATTTCTACCCTTTTGTTTTCAGTTCATTTAGGAATCTAAATAAGACCTTGTCTATAGTAAATGTAAGCCAGAACAGTTCCTGTGAGTCTTCGAGTGTATCTTTTAAATTCAACTGAAATACAGAGTATGTGTAAATAGGTGTTTTCTTCTTACCTGGCAGAATGTATGCACTGATGTTTTCCTTTATTAATATTTTTAAAAAGGTTTTTCGCCAAGCAAGAGCGAATACCCCAGCAATAATATTCCTAGATGAGATTGACTCTATCTTGGGGTCTCGGTCACATTGCAAAACTAGCCATGGTGTCTCGGAGCGGGTTCTTTCTGTTCTTCTCAATGAGTTGGATGGTATTGGGCTGAAAGTCACAGAAAGAAGAGGAAGCAAGCTGCAGCTTGAGGGTCAATGTCAAGAACAAAGTGATGAGGAAAGAAAGGTATTTATGTTCCCTTTTCCATATAGGAAGGATGATAAATGCTGTCCAGTTGTTCCAAAAATTTTAGTTGTTGAATCACACTTTTTAAACTTAAAATCCTCAGGCTAAAAAATAAGCAAGATGCTCTTCTACTGTCATCATTTCTAAAAAGTACTGTATATAGGCTGCTAGCTTTTTACATACATTATTCATCAATGAGACTTTGAACAAAACACCCACACAGGCTAAAGAGCATTACTAATTGGTGTTCATCTTCTGTCACAAAAATCCTCTTGCTTGACAGTAAGGTAATTTTTTAGGCTAACTGTGTGATTTTTACTATTGTACAGGTTCCTTCCTGAACTTACTTTTTACCCCTACTTCATTTGCAGTGCTTTTCTCATATGTACTTTATGCAAAACTAGCACATCTATTTCTTCCTTGTCACTTAATCTGGCCTGCACCAAGGCAGTTTTTACCTGAAGAAAAATAAAATACTAATATTGAAAGGAAGGTAACTACATGTAAAGAAACATATTTTTGTCCTTCCCCTTTCCTTGTTAGCAGTTAGATATTACCTAAAGATATTAGTTCTCTTAACCATGTTGCCCTGTGTTTATATAATCTCTTAGCTAGAGTTTCAGGAAACTTTGAACAAGGATTTCATGGTAGTTGCTGCAACAAATAGACCAGATATGTTGGATGATGCCTTACTGCGTCCTGGAAGGCTAGACAAGGTCATCTATATTCCACCTCCGGATCTGAAGGTGATGTATTGCAAAGCCATACTTGGATTTAAATGGAGAGGTATTAATTGCCAGCATACTTTAAGAGCAAATGAGGACATGTTCCTGTAATATATTAAACTGATGGATGATTCATTAAACATAAGGTACAATGAAGAAGTTTAAAGAGGGGAATAATTGCATTTGTGATTTAAACACCAGTAACATTTGAACTGCTGTCTGTAGCTATAATAGCACATATAGAAGGCAGACAAAATCTGGAATGATTCTGTATTTACAAAATCAAGCTAGTTTATAAAGTACCATAACAAGTTGTATGTCCATGCTTAAAATCATTTTTGTGCCCTGTTCCCAAGAGTAGTGTAGCTATGTGTGAGTTTCCCTAAAAAAATAATGTTGACCCAAAGCAGGCCAAATATGGACTCTTCAGTCTAAAATGCTGTGTTTTCATGAGGTAATGAGTAACTGCAAATAACAGTCTTTAATATGCAAGATAATACTCTTTATGATTATCTCCATTAATAGCATTTTATTCACTCTTCCACCAAAACCAAGTAGTTCTGGTACTCTTATTTTCATTAGTTCTAATTTCTAATTTGGTCCTGCCTTGGAGAGGGATTAATTCTTGGTTTGTTTGGTTTTGTTGTATAATATGCACAATCCTACAGGGAAGGCTTTCCATTTTGAAAATCTGCACAGAAAAAATTCCATTAGATACTGATGTGTCATTACAAGATGTGGCAGTTCTAACAGACCTCTTCTCTGGAGCTGATATTGAAAATCTGTGCAAGGAGGTAAGAAGTATTCATGGTTGGATGAATCTGTGAAATAAACTGAAAATGAAACCTTTCAATGAAAAAAGAGCTAGTTCATAGATGTTACCAGCCTGTCTGTATATGGATTCTTTCACAGTTTGTAATGAAAATACAAAGAGAATTATTAAAGCTGAAGAACCTAAATTATTTAAATAAAAAAGGCAAATAAGAATAAAGGCTTTCTGTGATAATTTACTAGAAGTTAAGGACCTGTACTACCCTTTTTTTCACATGGCCCTTTCTAATCCAGGCTCACATCTAGATGAATTGTGATCTCTGTACTACAAGCAACTGCAGCATTTTTAGCTGAAATTAGTATGTGCTGTCAAGGGTAGAGAGGAAAAAAATTGAGAAGATAAATCTGTAAGTATTTGAGGTTAGTTGCATAAAAGACAGAATGAGAGGAAAATCCAGCTACTTAAGTGATCAAAGATATATTGTCCAATCCGGACAAAAAAGCAAATGAAAGAGTTGCTGTAATTTTATTTGATACTGTATCTACTGCTAAATAACCATAAACTATATGATGCTGTTTTCAGATGCTTTACCTGAAATTGTTTCATGTAAAATATTTTAGAATACTTAATTTCTTTGCCAATTAAAACGTGATAAACATTTTAAGGTGGTTTTTTTTTTTTTTTTCCTTTTAAAGGCTGCTTTGTTGGCATTGCAAGAGAATGGACTTGAAGCAACTGCTGTAAAACACGAGCATTTTGTAAAATCATTGAGGACTGTAAAACCATCCTTAAACATGAAAGACTTGGAATTTTATGAAAAAATCTATAATCAAGAATTAGCTTCCTGAATCAAAAAGGAGTGATGTAGCATAGGTATTCTTAAATACATCACAAAGTTTGCAATGGTTTACATCTTTCCTGCTTTTTAATACTGCACTTTTTTTGGTACCTTTATTTTTGTACTGTAGTTTTCAATGTGTAAAAGTTCACTTGAGAAAAATACGTGATTTCAGTAATGGAGAATAAATGAAAATCTTGTTTCAAATCTTGTTTCCTTTGGCTAGGTTTCTACCTAGAAACAAGTAATTCAGATACTTAGATAAAGCATTGTGGAACAGCTTAGTGTTACTGTAGATTTCCTAATTCTCAGTACAAACACTGGCATAATAAGAATATTTAATTTAAACTATGTTGTGAAGTTCCTAAATAGTTAAATAGGAAGAAGTAAGTCCCATACGGTAGAAAATGTCAGGTGTTTTATATGTGCGTATCTACAGACTTGCTTTCTTACAAGCACATTCCAAAACGCAGTGGTGGTGAAAAGGCTGTCAGTGCTGAATACCTTGTTGTAGGTTTAGAGTCTGGGTTTTGGGGAATAATTCTAGATCAGTTACTGCTTTCCTATACAAGCAGTTGGATCGAGTAAGCAGATACTGAGTCTGTAATTAAATGATGATAACTTCTTCTTTAGAGGAGAAAGTTTGCTTAAAACCAGTTTCTGCAGAATCCAATCCCCACTAAGTCAATTTTTGTCAATTTATTTTTGTAGGTCATCTTCTAAAATACATAGATATATGAAGGGAAATTGCTGTTGTATGTATATAAGTGTGCATTTTAACTTACCAGGGTAGGAAGTTTTTTAATACTTTTTTCCTTTTCCCCCTGAAAATGTTTGTGAACAAAATACTCCATTGTCAAAGGTAATTTCTTATTTCAGCTGAGGTTCTTAAGTAATTAACCCATTAACAAATATTTCTTTCTCAAAACAGGGGCACTAGGGACTGCACTGCAGTGCAGCTTACAGTGAGATGGATCACAAAAGGAAGTTCCAAGGCAGTTAGTGACTGTGGAAGGCAAAAGGGAGTAGCAGAAGCCACTCTTGCTTAGGGAAGAGTTCAGATATAAATGACTGTCCTACAGCTTGGTGGCTTTGATCACTATTTCCTGGGGAGGGACAATCCTGCTGCTTTACTGCTGATAACAAGTAGGCCAGTACCAATGAGCGTCCCAAACACCCAAAAGTTTCTTGGCAGCAATGTTGGATATAAAAGCATGAAAACCTTCAAGGTAACTCTCTGGTTTGCTTTACATTTTTGAGAGTGTTGCTTTAGAATAGCCACTCCTGAACAGTGTGAGGACAGCAAAATGCTGTCAGCTCCTACACTTCAGATGTACTGCTGCTTAACTTCTGCACTCACTCCCTAGAAGGACCAGTGGAGCAAATTGTGCCCTGTTGTGTCCCTTTCTTGCCATGGGGAGCCAGCAGAGTATGCAGTAAGGGCAACCTCTCCTTCCTCTTGCTGCTTTCCAGTGGGTAAGGGAGGGAAAGGGAGAAGCTGATTTACAGGAATTGTCTGCAGGCACCATGCCACTGGTGGGAGTTCTCAGCCAGGGTTATTGGGAAGGTAGGAGCTGTGTAACACAACAGAGTGGTTGTACCCTGGGCCAGGGCTAAGCTTTGTTTGAGGGAAAAGGGACATCAGGCTCCTGTTCTGGTTGCCAAATGTGCTTTGCCTCAATACGTTGTTCTTTAGGCAGTCACCTGGATGAGGGGAAAAAACGAAGATAAAGGATGAGCAGAGAAGCAACGTTGGGTAATTCCACAGCAGGGAGGAGGTGCTGCGGCAGGAAATTGGGAAGAGCCCACTCCGCAGCTCCCCTTTGGAGGCCAGGAACGCTCGCGGGTGGGCCGCTTCCCGTGCCGGCCGTTGGGGGGCGCCCTGCCTGCGG